TTTGCTTTTATGAATAGAGGCATTCAGGCGCAATGTGACATGAGTTCTAGAATGCATCCTCATGAATTGCAAAAAAATGGATTGTAAACAAATTCATGTCGAATATTAATGGTTTAACTATTAATAGATTGAAATTCATTTGATGCATACAGTCTGTAAGCAGTCTGATTAAAATTTATTTAAATTATAATTTGGAACGTTATTTTGAAGTATCAAATCACACAGACGACAATTTATACCTTTCCCTGATTAGAAAACTGATCAGACAATGTTTTGCAACTATCACGCAACTTAAAATTAGTGGCTCACAATTCAGAACTAGATTGCTTCTGTACCGCTTAAACGCACAAATTAGCTTAACAGCGTTCTTTGAATACTTTCTCCCTAAATTGGTCGGTTGCTGAGAGCTTCTTTTGAATTCCTGAACAAGATGAACATTGAAAACTAAGTTCTTGGAATTAAATAAAAATTCAGACTCGCAATTAAGGTAACATATATCACGCATGAAAAAGCCATTTTATACCGGTAAACAAACCTAAATTGTGAGACATTGGGTTCTGGTCCTAACAAGGACTTGCTTGATTAATAAAAAAAGTAAGTGTTTAGAAAAAGAGCTTACCACTCACCACAAAAATAACACTATAGACACAAATTCCTTGGTTTTAGTCTGTTCACAATAAAATTACTATTTGATATAATATTGTTGTCCAAATTACTGGTTTTGCCTTCTCGATTTGTCAATTTACAGAAATTTTACCTTGAATGGGACAAGTATTCTTATTTAGCCACATGCCCATAAGTATTCGATTTGTGCATAAATCTGAATTAAAATGAAATTGTGCTACACTCTATAGTCTGTTGTTTTAAAGAATTTACCTAGAGTTTCGTGACTATTTAAAATTGCTAATCTTCTCGACCTTGGTAATTAACTCCGTTTTTTTTAGGAAGTGCCATTTTTGAGCGTTTTCAGATGTTCCACAGTGAAACGTGTTCAGAAAGGCATTTGCTGAGTTATAAGTCATTATAATTAAATTTGGAACTGTAATAAGCCAAATTACAAAAATCGATAGTTTGCCACAAGAGGTTTGATCTGTTTAGTATGCAGAGCAGAGCAAATATTATATAAGTTGTTTACAGAGTCCCAGCAGCAATCCGCAAAGACATGGTTAACTTATCAATTTATGGTTTAATGAAAATTATGTCGGATTATGATATTGCTGATGTCATGAACAGGATTTACAAAAGCAAGATGAAATACTAACCCATGGATCTTAAAAAAATACCGCAACAATTATTACGCTTGCAAATCAATAACACATTTCATTACCTTAAAATGATTAATTATGCATTAAACGTTTCGAAAAGAATTAATTGCTTGACTTGATTACTTTCTTAAAAATCTCTCACATGTTGTGCACTCCTTGTAAAACAGGAAAAGGTGAGTAATCGACCACAAATTAGAGCAAAGACGTTGTCTACATTTTCCATTTAAAATATGTGTAATTTAAATATTCTGTGCTTTTTTGCACTTAAAATATTTGATCGATAACTATAAATTAAACCGTGCCATTTTAACATGTTGTGGTTCTTTTTCTTTGGTGAGTATTGCAGCACATTGATCACAAAAAATGCCCACTACTATATCATGCTCAAGGCTTTTGTGGACTATTTGCAGCTCCTTTTTAAACTCTGCTTAGCATTGCTGTCACAAACAGTTGGTTTACCTCTATATACGAGCAACGTTTTCTTACAAAAAAATTACCTCGATCCCTTAAACATGCACCTTACTGAGTTTCATCATCGTACAGGTGGATTTCAAGATCTGTGCTTCGCAAATGACAAAGTCACCATAAGTACGATTACAAGATCAAGGCACTCGGGTATTTTTCGAATCGTTCAATATCCATTGTACGTTGAGACTTACTTGACTCATTAATTTTTTACGCACTTGATCATCTCTCATTTCATTCTCTTGTGCGCTTTTGACTATAATCATTTATTTTCAGCCCAAAATGCGCCATAGAGATGCCGCATTATAATTAATTAACAGCCATCCATGTGAATGTTTGACATTTACTTGTTTTCCTTTGCATAAATACGGACAAAAGTTTGCATGACACTATTGTTCAAAGCTTTACAGATATTAGTTGCGGTTCTGACATAAAGTAGGCTCTTGGGTTGTGGTAACTCGAAGACTAAGGCTGTGCTGTTTGAAACACGCCTTTCACTATGTGTGTAAAGAGCTTACAAAGCTGCTTTTAAAAAAGAGGTTATTATAGAGTACTAGATACTTCCTATTCCATCTCCGCTTCTGATCCCTGCATGCAAAAAGTTGCAATAGTAAACTTTCAAAAAATAAAATAAGTCAAATGGATGCAACCACACAACATAAATGATCCCAGAACTGTCTGTGAACCTGGAGCTCATGTCTGGGAAGCTATTCTTGCAAGCAAAACTATCGGTTTGGTTCGTATTGTTGGCTCAATTGTTGGTAAATACGAGAGATCTGGCTATTCCCAAGTACCTTACAGTATTACCGCTGTTTTTTTAATGAGGATTATCTTCTAAGCACATTTCCTATCTATTTTGACGAAAACGGACTATTGTGAATTTCACGTGATTTCATGTTACTTTTAGGTAGTCTGACAGCGCAGTGTTAATATCCAGTCAAGTGCCACCTTCAGGCAAATACTGAATCACATTTATGGTGAGCTGGTTCCAAGGCCTTTGCTGATATTGCCATGTGCTCTAATCTACAAAGATAAGTGATGTGTTTTTTGGTTCGAAGTCAGTTTTAATGGTAACCTGAATACAGATGACTAGCATAATGTAAAAGGTTAATTAGTAAAATTCAACGAAAACCACACGTGAAAAATTCCTAAGGTAACTGAAATTAATCCATGCTATATGATGCAATGGTTTTGTAGTGGAAAATTTTATTTCTTTTAAAAAAACAAGTAATATACTAAATGACTCTCGGTCAAAAATTTAAAAAATCATTTATTTTATCAGTGAGAACTTCGACCAAAGTGTAGCCAAATGTAAAAAACCACTTTATAATAATCAGACACCATACACTATAAGTCGCGTACATAATATTGCCTATGTAGCATGAACCACAGAAATCAATTTTGTGGATGCAAAATTCTTAGGAAAATGGAAATCATTATAATTTTTGACGCCGGTTGCATTATCAAAACGTAGGAATGATATTTACAGTTATTAACTTTGCTGTTAAAAAATTATCTCTAATAAAACCAGCAACGCTGCAGCCGACAGAGTTACCCGTCATCTGGAACGTCCATGATTTAAAATCGTCAGATAATAAAATACGCATTGCACAGACAGCCCATATTTAACCATTAAACAATGTATCTTTATTGCTAGCAGTGGTTTATATTTTTTCCATTTAATGAAATATATTACAATAAATTCCGATTCAGTTGTTTGCATTTTTATATTAACAACTAAGGTTTGATTTTAAATAAGCCACCCTCTTTACTGCATGTAACTGCTGTACCTTACAATATTCTGATTTTGCACTTAAACTCAGCATTAGAAACGCTTATTTGTGGTGTTCCTGTAAGTGAATTTACTTTTGTACTTCTGCTAGTTGCAAACAAAAGTAAATACAGGTGAATAATATATCATGATAATCGATTAAAAAAGAAGCTGTGCTCAGTAACCACCAAGAAAGCAAACAGCTAAAGAATAGGTCAAATGAATAATTTAAAAGAGGAAACTCAACCATCCAAGCCTTACAATTCCTTCTTCTGTAACATTCACTTAATGTGGTCGTGCGTTGCTAACCCTTAATCCGACCTCTTACGGGTAGCAAGTTTAAGACACCTCGACGTCCACCCAATCTTTTCGTAACAAGTGAATGCGCATGTGTGTGTACCAATGTCTTTGTGGAGCACATTTCCAGCGTCATAACTTCCAAATTCTCACACCCCACTCAAACAAACAGTGTTCTGCCATGCACACCAGTAACGAGTCCAGGCTTAGTCAGCATTCATTGTCAACTCATCGTCCCCTGAGAGCACCACTTTCCTTCATGCTTCCGTTCCCACCTACATTTTTGATTCGCATATGTGTCTGCTTAGAAAGCCCAATCACAACCGTCGAAGTCATCTCAAGAGATGTTAAACTACCTCCTGTTTGTTTCTCTTGCCTCGTGTTCAGAGGTAACCACCAGGGTTTCATCGGACATGCGCATAAAACCACAGCTAGCACCTTCGCTATTTGGTCTGTGTTTCGCCTAGTTGAGTGTATTAGACGTCGTCATCAGCGTTTGAGGGACGCCGTGCCATGGCCCATTTTGAATGCAAACATGACGAGAAGGAAAGTGCCTGGACCACCTCTGAGCTGTGCTCCCTGCAACCACTTCACGAACCAAGGAAACAGGAGCTTGTTGCTGCTGCTGCTGCTTCCGGTATGTCGCTGCAACACTCATGCGGTTCCCATTTAACCTAATAAACACGTACTCTCAGGATACTAACTCAACAGTTGTGATTTAGAACGTTCCCGAAACAACAACTATATGCTGCCTTTCAATAAATGTTGCTGTTTGTAGAGCTTGTTCATAAATTTAACCAAAATTAGAACGTCATCGCGGTTTTTCAAATTGATTCACACTCAACCAACCAGTATAAAGGCGTTTAATTCTTGTGACTACAATTCAAAATTGAAGGTAGACATGCATCTCAGCTCACGTTTAGACTTGTTACAGAATACAGAGTTGCTCTTTAAGAAGGAAAGCCATTGCACCTTATTCGAGATAAAGGCAAATAACTTAAGACACAATTGCTAAAATCTGGTAGAGACCATTTTAACTTCTAGGACTTTTGACGTGATCAGCAAAGAGAGGGACATTCGTCGCCAGCCAGATTGGATAGAATTGTGTTTGATGGGACATATAAGGCACAACTTCTCCAGTGATTTAAAATTGTCGATCATTTTTTTGTTTTAACTATCTAAGCACCTTCACAATTTAAACGCTAACGCACCTGAAATGGCTTGGGAATGAAATGGTTGATAATTAAGGTTTGCAGTTGAAATTCATGATTTAGTTGACGGACGTTGTCCACTAGGTCTTCCATCTCGCGTGCGTACTCAGATCGCAAATCCTCCAGTTCGGCTTTTACTTGCAGGTACATTGTGGTGAGTTTCTGGAGCTTCCTGCGCTTTCCAATGGCCTCCTCCTTACAACACAACCACATTTAATGAAAATCTGGGTTTGTGAACACGAACGACCTCCCTTTGCACGTGTCCTTGTTCACAAATAATAAAATACTAGTGTTGACTCGTTGTTGGCGTTTGGCGTCTTTTGCTAGAATCAGCTAAATCGTTGAAAATGAAACTTTGAATCCTCAAATACGTATTACTCTGTGTATTGGCCAAAATGTCATAATTTTTACACTTAAACTAATACCTTCGCAGGAATAAGAGTCATATAGGGCAGCAGTCCGAAGACTCAAAGCAAAATATGAATGTACATTCGTTTTTAATTAGGTAATGTAAATGCCTATCAAGTGAAAGAACCCCTAATCTTATGCTCGAAATCCACATTAAGGAAATGGAGAAAATGGGTGAAGCCTCACGTGGCACTAATGTCCCAGACACCAAGACAAACTAGAAAAAAAAACATTATTTCTTTCCTAATATACACTTAAACTTAGTCACTTAAATTATACGATATATTTCTTAGGGAACTAAATTTGAATGTACCACTTCTGCAAGACAATTCGTTACTTCGGTTGCCCGGCGTGTCAAGGACAAGATCTTGGATGAAAATTCGAATTCAATGACTAATTTTACTTTTCGTTAAAAGCAGTAAAAAAGTGCAACCCCACATGTAAATTTAGAGAGTTAAGTAAAAAAAACCTGAATTTCATCATCAATTGGGAATAACAAATATACCAAAAGATCAGGTATTAAACTATAGTTAACGGCGTTTGGCATCATGATTTTTTTTTACGCCACCCAAAAGTCCATTTTTGAAATTTGGATTGACAAACAAGACTGCATTCGAATGATTATGGAAACTATGCTATTGCTTTTTCGGTCACCAATCTACGATGCGTGAATATTTTGTCAGTGCTATGCAATAAATGAGATGTTTATCACCATTCTGAAGCTAATTTGGTCTTTTTGCTACATTTGCTACATTTACTGCCAGGTCTCTGCAATGAAACTCAACGAAATAATCACCAGACCTTCATTAAGTCAAGCGTAATTTACAAAAACCAAATGGATGAGAGCTTCTACCTGCAATGAATTGTATTTCTCTTCAATATTAATTCGCTCCTCTTTCTTTTCCTTAAGCCTCTGTTTCAACTTTTGGGCCCGCTCTTCCTGTATGCGGAGCTCGTGCGCCGATTTTTCCAGAAGCCGTTCTTGCGCCTCAGCCTTCTCGAGGAGGTTTTCGCCACCAACAATGATGCGCTTTTCTAAGGCCTTCATCCTACTCGCGATATCGACCTGTGCCTTCTTTGCGCTGGACAACTCCAACTCCATTGCCTTCAACCGTTTCTTGGGAGCGAAGGGATTAGCACTGATGCATGCGTCATAATTTTGTAATTAATTTGAAACTAAGCACCGTTTTTAATAGTGTTACTACCTTGGATAAAGGCAACTAAGATGTTCGGGTGTGGGATATAATAAACTGCTTATAGATACATGAAAACTCGTCGGGCACACTTCCAGAGAAAAATAAAAAATTACTGCCTGAGCATGCAAAAAGCAGTAAATCATGTTTATTTTTATGAGTACTGGAGTCAATGAGCACTTTCCTAAGTTTACTATTTACAAACACTCAATGTGATAGAAAATGTGCCCTCTGTTCGTTTTTTACAACCATGTGAAATGTATATTACACATTTTCTCCTTTTACATGTAAATAAAATAATATGAAAGTTTTGATTTTGAATCCCATCACTGAGTGCAATAGAGCGATACAACTTCGCGTCGAATTAAAGAGGTCCGGCTCTTGCTCAGGAATATCTCACATTTCGAGACAAAGGGTTTGACGAGAAGTGACACACAAAGGCAAAACATTTTCACATAGCAAGGTAGCTACTTAAATATTGACACGAAATATAGTAAACTGAACTCCAAGTAGAGTGACGAGCATGAAGTAAATTAGCCTTGGGGAAGCGAAAACATTGGTTTATTTTAAGTAGGTGTGGTTGGGGGTTTCCGCGTTACAACAATTTGCGATGTCAAGGTTAGGTGATAAATGGTTGGAAGGTGCAAATATTTTACATCCGTAAATATCAAATTTAAAATATCTGCCGTTTATTGCATAAACGCTTATAGTCGATAATAAGGTAAATAATCTGGCTATCCCAACCTCCAGGGGTAAACTGTTAAAATGGGTTCTTTTTATAAAAAAAACCAAAATATTTTACGTAAATGAGTCACGATTGCAATCCTTAATATCACAGCAACCTAAATTTAATGATTAGGTTTCATTTATCAAATACCTTGATTTTATCTCTCTGTTCAACTTCCATGTCTTTTTGTTCCTCAAGTTTTTGGCGATCCGCGTCAATCGAGTTTTTGATATCCATGATTTGTTCTTTGGTTAACTTCATTTCTGTGCCCTTTTGCTCATTCGACTTTTCACCTTGCGGACTGACAGCAGTCGGTTCCATTGCACAGCCTTCACTGGGTTTGTCTAGATGAACAATACCTGCAAACATTTGGAATTGCGAAGAAGTATTAGAACGTCAGTAGCAAGACCGCAAGTAGATCAAAATCAGTAAGCATGAAGAAGAGTACTGGCTGTGCACATTAAAGTCTGTGGCAAGACACATATCGCCACAATTGAAGCCCAAGTAACAACTGCGTGTAACATAAACTAAGTAACTATCCAAGGGTTTGGCAGGTTAAAAAATTTATCAATACATGTCATCAAAGTAATTAAATCTGACATTTTTCGGCGAGCTAATAGAAAATACTTACATTGGGAGTAGAAATGGTTGAGCTAAAAGCTAACGAAATAACTCCAACTGTAAAATTACCATCGTGTACAGTTCACAAAGAGGTATAGATTGCTGCCTAATGTGGCCTGCCCGTAACGACAATGACCGACCGAGGCACGTAAACTAGTGATTGCATGGCGTTACCATTGCAGTTAGCTATTTTTAAATGTTAAACTAAACCGTTCCAGGGGCTAGCTTATTTTTCTTAACAGATAATAAGCGCCACCTTAATGACACTAATATGCAAATTCAAGTTGTTTGCAATTTTTTTCTCTTATTAAAATTTATCACCACACCTCAGAACACACTAAAACGTTTATGATGTAGCTCTTAGAAATTGTTTAGGATACACAACCTAGCCCAAAAGCTTAAAGGAAACATGAACCATTTTCAACGAGATCTCAATTTCCTATTCCACAATATCGATGTTATCGTCATCGGCAGTAATGAGTAAAAAAAATTTCTGCGTTCAAGAAAAATTCATTTGTATAAACGCCTAGAATATTTTCAACCCCAAAATATGCATTTTGTGAGAACAGCATCAGCTTTCTTAAATGCCACATCGATGCGGTGGCACCTCAGCCCAAATGAAAGGAGTGCAGAGATCGGAAGCACTAAATCTTGGAGTTTCCTCACCGCACACGTTGTTTACTTGGCTTGATCAACTGTTGTGTACTGTTTTGATCTGCATGCTGCAACTCGACAACCCTGACTTACTTCGTAAGACGAAAGCAAGAAGAAAATGATAGTCACCAGGAATGGCTGAAGCGACATTTCAAGCTAACAAGGGTACAAGTTCGAACATCATAACGCCTGGAAAAGAGAAACATGTCCTGCAAATAGATGTTCCCAAAACTGCAGTCGGTGCAATGTTACAAGAGGAGCTTAGTATTCATCTATTTTCCAATACTTTAACCGGCTCGAATTCGTTACAGTACCATCTCAAGGAAACTAATAACAAAACATCTTGAGGTGAATTACTTTTGTCCTCTAATGGAAGAAGTCTTTACCAATTGTGGACCCTTGGTTCATGACTTCCCTGGCCGTCTGGCAAGGATTGTCATTCTTGTGTCAAGATATCCTAGCTCTTTCACGTTTCACAATTTCCGTTAATATGATGGGACCGAAACCTATTTCGACTCACTGTCCATGGCACATATCTACATTTAATCCTCCGATAACGGTATAATTTATCAAGTCAAAACCTGGATAAGCAGCTCTCTTCCTAGTGCTCTATGAAAACTGCACTAGTTTAGAACGCAAATAATTTGCCACATCTTATTTGAGTTCACATTCTGTGAGCCCATCATTCGTAAAGAAGGACGTTCGATCATTGGCCAAAGTCTGTTTTCAATGTCATCACAGTGGAGCCGACAAAATTCAATCTGACTACATAACAGTTTTCGACCACAAGAGCGCATCCGATTCAAATCAATCAATTGAGGTGGATAGCTTTCGCGGACGTAAGCATGTACTTGCCTGCCTGGGTTGTTTTACCGGTTAGCCGGTGAGAGTTTGGATCAGGGATAGTGTGACCAAAATAATTCCAAGAGCCTTTATCGGGTCTCGTATTCAAAGTTCCACCACCTCCCGATCGCGGTGATCAATTTACATCTTGTTTGGTTCAGGAATTTTGTGGCTTCCTTCGATTTGAACATTTTCTGCCACAGCATATCGCCTAGCCTCCGGTATGCCGGGCAAATATTCCCGCCGATAGTTAAAGCAAAAGTCACATCCACTAACTGGGCTAACGTATAACCTTTGATAATCTTGACTACCAGTAAAACCGTTAAAGGAGAAATAAAAATGTTCTCCTGCACAACATATTTATGAGTTAAGTCTTCATTTGCACGCAGAGATGGTTAGCGGCTCTCTTTCAATGCTTCTTTTTATACACAATGTTTATCTGTTGAAAAGCTTAATAAGGATAATTTGGTCCATTTCAGCTTAACTAGCCCTATGTCAGCCGCACATCCGATAAGGACTACGTGCATTGCCATATATCCTCGACCACGCTTTGACGACCACTTTGAAGCAGTGCGACGCATCGATATCTTGAAAATTGCAACCACGAATGGCAGCAATAGCCCGGTCATTTCATTAAACCCGGATGATCCAACATTGGTGACTTTACCACACTGATCTGCGTTAACACTAGCAACCATACATTTTCATAAGCATAGTGGCAGGAAGGATGCAGGCCCAGCGACACAGTAAACGGCTGTTTCTGTCTTCCTAGTCGGGTTGTCGGGTAGTAAAAACTCTACAACACTTTATATTGATGCCAACGCCTACCAGAATGGCAGTTTAAAAGAAACGTTCCCAATCGAGCAACGTTTTAACTAGTAAATTAGGAAGTGTGAATGGCATAGGCACAGATTTCTCCTTAGGAGGCACTAAATACACACCATTGGTAAGCTGTGCCCGTAGTTCTTCTATTTCTTTCTGGAATTGACGAAGCAAAGCGTCTTTTGGATCTTCATTTATTCTGGCATTATTCTTAATCGATTTCGCCCGATTGGCATATCGGAGAGTGCTTAGTGATTCATCGTAATTATAATCGGTGGGCCCAATGTTTGCAATCTAATTAACAAAGAACAGAGAAGGTATATACAAAGTTGTAAAGTATTTTGAATTTTGTTTAAGCCTAACTGTGACTTAGCTTGGAAATTTAAAGTGGGATGCATGTGACTGATAAATAAGAGCATGTTGAATGAAGCTTATATTTTTCATACTTGAAACTACTAGAATTAAGCAGATGACAGACATGGATGCTTTAGTTGTGCATGGAAAAGGCAACGTTAAATATTGTTAGTGCCGGACACACAATGTGGATTGCCATGTCATCAAGAATGCGCATTTCAATGGAGGTTATTGCAAAAGGTTATGATAAGGCAAGTGTTATTCCAGATTTTCTTTGACGCACCAAGCAATCCCAGTCTGTAATCTGGCGTTTCTTAACCAACAGGAACTCGGTCGACCTATGTAAAACAAACTGCCTATTTAACTACTCTACCAAAAGTTTAGTGATACCGTGTTTACTGCGATAAGCGTTCGGTCGTCTAAATAAACATCTTTTTTGGAACAAGCAACGGATATTTAATGTCTAACAAATTACAAGAAAACTCTCAAAGGTGCTAAAACTTAATTAAAAACAGTTGTAATTTGACAAACAAATTTTACAAGTACCGCATTAAATAAACTGTACCCAGGTATAAAAAGTTGCTCAATTAGAAAGGAAGTAATTTCATTGCTCGACTGGATTTTCAACATCTCTAGAGTCCAAAATAAGTGACCAGACCTAGTTTCATGAAATATTTAACACCTTTTAAGGTTATTGATCAGGAACTCTGACCATGACTTTCAGATGTACTTTATGGTTCATTAACATACCATGACAGTTTTCGAGTTTCCACCAAGTGAATCCTGCAAAAGTCTAGTAAGTTTGGAATTCCTGTAAGGAACATGAGTTGATTTGCCATCGACAAGCGCAGATATGACGTTACCCAATGTAGTGAGAGAGAGGTTTATTTTGTTAGCTTCTTGTAACCTTTGCCCAGTGGCTCCGGTTTTGGATTGTCTTTCTGAGCCCTTAAAGTCAAATTAAAAATGCAGAAAAAAGTAAAGACGATGTCAGATTGGCCAACTATCAGCACCTCCACTTGATGAAGGTCCTAAGGCTATTTATCTAAAAAGCTAAAACTAGAACATTAAGTTCAGTTGCAGGATGCTCTTAAAAGATGAATAAATAAATAATGGACTTGGAATTAGATAGGGTAACCGAGAAACAGCCCAGTCAATCATTAGTGTTCACGGATTACAAAAAAAACCTAAACTGATCTCAAATTTGATTTCACGAGACCCAATTCCTTTTAAATAAAACTGCTTTTAAAAATAACTTTCATCTTAAGATCGGCTACTGCGAAAATTCACATCACAGCATTTATTTACCTTTTCCATGTTGGCAAACATAGAAGGGCAACAACGACGTTGAACTCTGACATCAAAACACGTATAGCACTTATGCACCTATGCAGCTTTTGGAAAATTGACCATTTTCAATATCTGACTCTTCAATATTAGCCTGGATTATCAATAGGTTTGTAAATCTATTTTGCTAAGACAGAAGTCATCCTGAAAAAAACTATCATTTAGAGGATAAACTGACTCTGATTGGACCTCATTCGATCTGCCCTAGTTGGACCAACACTAAATGTCTTGAAAAAATAAACAGCCGGATCTGTTGCAAAATTAATTTGATTTATATTGACAAAACCAAAAAAGTAGTGGCTGTTTGAAAATGGATCAGTCTCTAAACACAAAGTTCGGCCGATGCTGTAACGATACGAAATGGTCCCCATGCTTTACAGATGGCTTCAATGGGCACATGATTGGTCAAAAGAACACTTTTCCCGCATGCAAACGTCGGAATGGCAACTGATACACTATATTTTAAAATGTATGACCGGACAAACTGTATAACTCATTAAATCTGGCTAGCGAGCCAAAGCGATTCGAATGTCTAGCGTTGAATTGAGTCAAATACTTAATTAGTGCACACCACAAAGAGCAGGCATAAGACTAGAGCTGTTGACCGTTTTAAAAGTACACACATAAGTAAGCAGAATTCTTTTTTTCTAAATTACTTGCTTTTCTAAAAAGCTAATAAACAGAATAGGAATTACACCATATCATCATCGCGTGGTATGTCAGTATACAGATTTAAGACTAACCAGTTGGGTTTTCATGAAAAACACATGAATGTTTGTTTTGTACTTAAACAGATCCACCTGAGGGATTAAAAATCTACCAAAGTATTTAGTACTATTAAACTACAACCTTCATGAAGGATTAGGATCAAACTTTTAAAAAGTAGTGCCACTCATTGAGCAAATAAAAAAAGCTAAGAGAGGATTTTGGAAATAAAATATACGACATTTTTTGTTAAATCCAAGGTTTCCAGTAAAGAGGATAAGTAAAACAGAATCACCAAGTTTATTGAATTGGAAAGCCACTCCACATTTAGTGAATTTGGCAGCATTTAACTACGTTCCAATATAACCTAAGGCCCTCAAAAGTACCCACCGCTAAATCAACGAGATGTAACTTTCCCTGACGAATCATCTGCTTTCCGCCCTCAAGGAGCCCAGAAGTCTCGACGGTGATTGAGAAAATTGCGTGGGAGCGTGAACTGTGCTCATTCATGTTTGTAGCAGCAGTTGAACCTAAATTAAACAAATGCATGCCGCGGACTGTCTGATAGGAATGGTAAAAGGTGTGGCTGAACAAAAGCGAGCTCTTGCAGTGGCTTGCAAGCCACTACATGCCAGTGATTGGTAAATAATCGATTCTACTAACAGCAGATAATAAAGCAAACAGTTTTCAATACTCGAGCCGCATTAATGTCCAAAAAAAGTAGACTGCGTCTAACTTAGAGGTACACAGTGTAAGTACACACCTTCATGATATGATGAGGCTGTTTTTAAAAGAATGCCAAATTAATTTGCTAGTATAGAACTGACAGAGAACGGCGATTTCGCTGATAGTAATAACAGCGTTGGAAGCCGTACATCTTCACTCTGTTATCGTAGCGAGGTAAATAACCATTAAAGGCCCTCTATAATATAGTGGGGAAAATTATCGATTCTGGTTTCTGATATTTTGAAATGGCTAGCTGCATTTAGTAAAGTAGAAGAAATCTTGATTTTGCCTGTTGTTCAGAATACAAACACCTTTTTTGGAATTTCAATAAAGTGCCACTGTTTTAGATAATACTTGACGCACCCAATGGATTCAGATGATTATAAAATGTGCCTTTTTGCCAATCAAATGCAGTCTATCATTTTAGACCAATAGGTTAACAAGTCAATAATCAAAATTTGAGCAGCTGAAAGTTCTACAAATGGTGAAGAGTTTAACTAACCTTCCGTTTTCAATTTTCGCTAGTCCGTGTCTGTACAAATTAGTTATGCACGGGTCAAAATCTTATTGAAATCTAGGTCATTGTTTAAAAAGAGTATTTCATCAATAATATATAAAAATAGCCTTATATCAAAACTTTACAACTGGAAAATCATTAGCGATTTGTCCAAATCCAGATTGGGCTGCATTGTGACTTACAAATCCTATGCAAAACCACATTAAACTTCTCAACTAACCAAAAAAGGCTAGAAAAAGTATGGCAGCGTCCATAAAAAACACTGAGCACTGAAAACTATTATTATTATTGTTGTTGTTGCTTTTATTAATGAGATGTTGATGAATAAGGTAAGTGCGGAAGTGAAAGGTCTTCTCAAGAACCTTCCAAAAGATTTGAGGCAATTAAATGTTAGCTGAATATTTAATCCACAATTATAAATGAAAGAAACTTCAACAAATGTATGGTCAAACATACGATTTCTATTCCCAAGGTTCATAAGCTTTTCCATTTCATTTGGTGAATGGACCATGACGGTTGAAAGATCCTTCACGTAAACTCCACAATCAGGCCGTTCTTTCACTTGAAGCTTCGCATGTTGATTCCTTCCTAATAAATCTCTGACCTTTACTTATTAAGACAGGCATAATATAACATTACCTCCTCATTGTAAACTTCAAGATATGATACGTGAACAAGAAATCTTGAATTTGAATCTGCTTTCGCAATGTGTCCAAATATGTGTGCAAAAGAATTTGGTATTATTCCTCGTAATTCCGGTACCGTACGAACGCCATCCATAGTAAACGTTTTGCCCGTTCCAGTTTGGCCATAAGCAAAAATTGTACCTATCAGACAAGTTGACAAGCCAATGGCAATTAAGTGTACCATTGTACCCCTCGAAAACCTGCTCCACAACCGGACGAGCAACTTTATTATAAATATCGAGTTGTTTGCTGATGAAACCGAATACATAATCAAATGTAAATGATTTCAGAGGCTCATTATCTTTCCCATTAGGATTCCTCAAGGCTACATAAGCACTTCCCTCGTCAACCTTAAAGAAAAACAAGGATCATCTTAAAGTAGTTGCTAACCTCAACGACCACTGTACACTGGCATTGTTCCTCCTTTTCGTTCATGGGGCGGCAACGCACACAGACTTTCACATTTTCAGAAGCTGGTGACATGTCTGTGAAATGATGAGTTAGTTACGGGTTGACGAAATCATATTTCTTAAGAACGAATAGGATAAATGTAACTTGAGGAAATATTCTAATGACATTTAGATGAAATTTGATTTGGATAACTACATTGGGCTATCATTTTAACCCACAAATGTTAAAAAATTATACTTCAGCGTAAAAACTGATTGTACGATGTGGCGTTTAGTAGTTTGAGGTGACGTGGGTCACGTTTTGGATTACAATTGAGCAATTTTGTCCCGATGTACAGGATAATATTTCCATACCCAAGGAACTAAATATTTTAATTAACAAGACTAAAACAAGCTAATTGGACTAAACTGCACACAGGACCAAGGTGTCATAATAAGAAATGGAAGTAGTAACTGGAATCCATATATGAACTTAATTCCTTTACCTCGAGGAAGCTAAGCGCATAATTCTAGTTTATTCTTATTCCCTACATTGTGTAAAAGCAAATAATGTGAGAAAATTGGTAATACAAGTAAAAGCAAGCACCTTTCTGTAGCATATCTTTGGACGAGGAACTAAGCTATACACACCTTTATCAAAATTGACAACAGCGTATTGCACAAGAGTGGAGCCGCATCATAACCGTGCATTTATATACAAACGAAGTGTTTAAAATGTTGTTGGTTGTGAAAAATGGAATACTACCACATACCATTTCAAAAACGCATTACTATTTCAAGAAAGAGTTATCTCGATTTACTTGTCTTGCTAGTCAGTTAAAACTAGGTATATCTTAATATTCTTAGGAAAAAAATTAAACTGTCGTTTAAGATGCATTTTACTCTTATTCTGATGATATTAGGTGTTAACGCCTAATAGCAAACAGCGGCATTCCAAGAGATTCGAAAGGTCAAACACTGAAAAAAGAGTTAAAACAAACCAAAAGGACACAATTCTTAAAAAAAGAAAAGTATGATGCTGTAAGTTTGTCGTCAAAAAATGTCGCGAAATAAATTTTACTAGTACAAAATTTTTAGCATTGTAACGTATTCAATTTCCTTAAATATTTCTAACGAAAACTACCTTGAAAGCCTTGATATTGCCAAGTTTATATCTGACCTTTATTTTAGGTAGGTAAAAAAAGTGCAGCCTTCAAATTTAGGTAAGTTTTAGCTTGTATTTAGGTGTCTTTTTGCATTTTTTACTATTTAAGTTTACGTTTCTCCTGACTCGTGCGTGTTCTTCATCATTTATCCAAATTTTTGCATTTCAAGTGTTATCACTCAAATCGAAAATGATGAACTGTAAATTAGTCGCAAAAGATGTGTCATTACTGTACAGCTGATTTGCAAATGCTTCTTTTGTTGGAATTTCGCAAGTTAATATGTTTAAAAATGAAGTGAACTTGAATAAACTCCATTAATATTTTTTAATAAGTGTAAATCGGACATCGCATGAAGTAAAAAACGTAATTTTGCACATGCTACTACTTCTGCATGTCTAATCTGCACGGGAAAACCAGAATTGGGCATACATTTTATTTCTAAACATTGTAACATTAATCTGGGTCGATATAAACCTTCTTATCCCAAAACGGATTGTCCCATACTTTCAAGCCTTAAGCCTGCAGCCCTAATACTAGAAATGGTTCCATACAATACTCACAAAACTACAGACGATGTCTCAATTTGACACTTGCTAAAATAATTTGCGACTGCATTATTTGACATCCTAAACCAAATCTTAAAAATCTAATGGAGAAAAAATTAGCTATAGTTTACATATGAGTATTCGGTTACTACTTCACTATTTTGCCACAAAATACCTGTCATTTTAATCGTTAATATACGAATAATTTCAGATTAAATCCCGAAAATATTTGATTCCACTTACCTCCGGTTGTAGGAAGAGTATCTCCGTCAGCGACAACATAGATACTAAGATCAAGTATTTTTGAAAGGTTAGTGGCAAGGTCAAATAGCGTTAATGCATTTTTATGCCTTCTTCTTGTCAGCTAATCCAACAGGCTAGTTCAATCACCCAATTTAGTTTTAAAATTTATCATTGGTTGTTCTGAAAGTTTAAATAACTTTAGCGCAAAATTGGTTATTGTTCTCCCAGATGTAGCCAATTTGCCCTTCTTAAAGCCATTGATGTGAAGTTTCAAGTTTCTCTCATTTCTACATTTGATTTCACAGGACACAATTTATTCATAGTATGTGTTCCAAACAAATTCACGGCGCAAATTTAGATTTAAAGTTTAGTCTACTTGTCAACATTGGGCATCTGAAACTAATACCATAAAAGTTCCTTATTCTGATTAATACATTTTCAAACGCTCTATCATCAAACCCAAGTCATCATTCAATCTATGAAATAAAGCCTTCTTTTTATTCAAAATAAAATTAGACTAGCTTTGTATCTGCTGTAACTGATGCAAACATGAACGAATACTACTCCTGTCTCCTGTTCGTCAAAACAGTGACGAGTTTTAAACCACCAGGAAAACAAGCCATTATTTTATTGCAGCACGGTGACTGTGCTGTATTAGCTCTTACACTTTGAACATTTAGGTAAGATTAGCACTATAAGGTTATCTGAACTATTCATTAACGTGAATACAATGATACTACCATTTAAACATTGAATCTGTTTTTATTTTTCTTAAAAGTTCATATTTGCATGTGTGGCTCTTCAAGGCCACTAATAAGCCACCTGCTTTTTGTTACTTAACACAGTTGAGATAGGTAGCTGACTTCTAATACAAAGCTTCTTTACTGTCATTGTTACAAAATATGTGTCCAATTGTTTCTTGTGACTGCCAAATTCAAAATGTTCTTACACCCAAATGTAACATTAAAAGGATCTACCTATTTTCAACGCATTCAAATGTTTCAGCTATTGAATTCCGAAATTTGGAACCAATAAACCACCAAGCCCTGCACTTTCGATTTAGTGAAAAGTCTTAATATTTCCGAGCATCAAATTAAGCAGCACTGTGAATATATTTACATTCTTTATTCTGGCAAGCCAGAAACTATGATGTTTTTTTTGGATTAACACATCCGAAATGAGCTGTTTGGTGTTATAAATGTCAATTGATTTTGAAAGACAAGTAATATTGATTTTCCGTGACTTTAAATAGTTTTTAAAATACTAAAAAATTATATCCCAAAACTTTTCCGTGATCAAATTGGACTTTATAGTGACATTCACAGTTTTTGATTGATTGCTATATGAGTCTGCGTCGGGATTTGCGGGTTCCTGTTTCAAGAGTCAACTGAATTATTCAGCAAAATTATAAACGCAAGGTTACGCCAGGTAACTAACCAATCTCAGAGAAAGGGACTAAAAATTAGAAATATCAAGTTATTTCATGAGAACCAGAAATAATGTTTGACATTATACCTCTATTATACTAGTATTACCTTTTCTGATTAAACCTAACCTTATTTTTAGAAAGCAAAACCAGTACAATCTCGTTTAAATTACTGGCACTTCATTTTCAACTAACATCGAAGTATTTTCTCGATATTTACAACTCCTATGTAGTAAAATTTCGCAATTTTTTTCTAAAATATGCTATGAGGTCGTGAATAGATCCCTTTGTTACTGTCCCCTTTTTGCAACCATTAAATAATGCCAATATGTTGAAGCGCATTGTATTGACAGAGGAAATTTCTTTTCCCCTTCAAATTATCCTATTCGGCCATACTACACCTATTTATTCGGTAAATATTCTAGCAAATAGTTCAGTCAACTTCTACTAAATGCTTGCAGAAATTTTACCAGAACTATGAGTTAAGCTAAAAGCAGTTCTAAGTGCATATAAGGATATACAGATTTTAAATTAGGGTGCTACATGTTTAACTTCCATTGTTGCGAACATATGTTTTGATTTATGGAAATGAGTTCCATTGCTAAAATTAGTCTAGACGTTGCTGGCCACTTTGAAACCTCCATTCCTTACATCTTCACTATAAAAGTGAACACTTAATGCTGACGAAGTTTTATTCTAATTAATAGGCCACCATTAAAACTGTGTTTCCAAAGTAGAATTAGTACAAATTAAGTGGAGAGCAGGAGTCTGGTGAACTAGTGGGCTGTGTAAACTTGGAGAAAATATGCTTACATTTACGTCTGACTGTGGTGTCTCACTTAGACGACGGTTAATTAAGATCGTAGGCACAATATTTTGTCAATTTTCGGTCTGATGATTCGGTAGCTTGAATTTTACTGAATTGTTTGTTTTCATGGCCAAGTTAGGGTAAACCGAGAACAACCCAATCTTTCTTCGGATGGGTTTTTGCCATTAGGTTGGTTATTGGATCGATTTGAATTTAATCTTTTGTATCAACGAGAAAAACCACTTTGATTTAATGAATCAATGTTTATGCTAAGTTGACAATGAATGTCCAAAGGAACTGACCTAACATGCCAATGATCACTATAATGAATTTTTCGCCGAGGATGAGTACAGCGAGAACTTGAAGTCTTAAAAAAAACAATGTGGTTTGGGTGAGAGCACTTAGATTGCTAGAAGAAGGTCGGGGCTTGCGAAGTTGTAAGAACTGTATCCCAGAAGATTTCTTTGGCGGAGAATGCAATGGCGTGCACACTCTTGGACCTGCCAGGCAATCCTCGTGCCTTAAATTTATCAAATACTGGCATACTCTCTGAAGTTTAGTCTGCGAAAATCCAACAATGTGAATGCATTTATCTTCAACATGGTAAAGGATAGTATAAACAATAAATGTTTACAACAGTTTCGTTATTACGACGGATAAACACACAATCCCCCAAAGATAAAAGACGATTCGGAACGTTGGACAAAGTATGTGTCAAATCCGCTTTGTGCACGTGAAACAGCATTCAACAAGATTACCGTTCGTTCAGTAAGCAAATTGTAATCGGCCTTTAGTAAAAAAATAGAGTTAAAACAACGGATATATCAAGTCTAGCGTGTAAAAATTACAGATAGTGCCTTTGATGTTGGGAAACGCCGGTGGTATCTTATCTAAATGGCGTGCAAA